AGAAAGTTTAAAAAGGATCAAAATTATGCCGAAGCTTATAAACAGTATATAAATGGGATGATAGAGAAAGATTACGCAGAGCTTTGTACTAATGTACCTCCTTTAGGTAATTTATGGTATTTGCCTCATTTTGGGGTATATCACCCCCAAAAGAAAAAGCTGAGGCTCGTTCATGATGCCGCGGCTAAATGTTCAGGAGTTAGCCTAAATTCTCTGCTACTCCCTGGCCCTGACCTCTTACAACCCTTATTAGGAATTCTCATGCGTTTTAGGGAAGGTGAGGTAGCCCTCAACGGAGACATTCGTGAAATGTTCCCGCAAACAAAAATTAGGGCACAAGATAGAGATGCACAACGTTTTCTCTGGCGAGACGATCCTTCTCTACCTATAGCAGAATATAGAATGTCTTCCATGATCTTCGGCGCCACCTCCAGTCCGTGCACCGCCATTTTTCTAAAAAATAAAAATGCTTTAGAGCACCAGACTAAGTTACCCGAAGCAGCAGAGGCTATTGTTAGAGACCATTATATGGACGACTACCTTGGAAGTGTAGACAGCCCAGAACTCGCCGCTCGATTAGTTGCAGATATCGTCACCGTGCATAAAGCAGCCTGTTTAGAGATGCGCTCATGGGTATCCAACAACCCCAAAGCGCTTACAACAATAAGTCCTGACTTGTGGGCTGCCGACACATCCGAGGTAGGTCTCGGACCGACATCTCCTTCGCAAGTTAGAATTTTAGGGGTGGCCTGGAACATCAAGGAAGATACTCTTTTAGAAAGTCCATAGAACTACCTACCAGTGTGACAAAAAGAGTAGTCTTGTCCCATCTCATGAAGGTTTACGATCCTCTTGGATTTTTGATGCCACTAACCATCGCCGGTCGCATCTTATTTCAGGAAACATGGAGAATGGGTATTGACTGGGACGAGGAGTTGCCCGCCTCTGCTAAGGCAAAGTGGCAGACTTGGTTCGCCGGTATAGCAGAAGTCTCGGCCAAAATTAAAATACCACGCTGTTACCGAACCAGATTTGCTGCGGAATGCCAGCTCCACGTCCTAGCCGACTCAAGTGAATCCGCTTACGCTTGTGTGGCGTTTTGGCGTTTTGTCCACCAGGACCAATCTGTTCATTTGGCTCTTATAGGTGGAAAAGCGCGCCTAGCCCCTTTAAAGCCTGTGTCTATCCCACGGCTCGAGTTACAGGCGGCTCTCATGGCTTCTCGATTCGCAACTTACATCCTGGAGGCACACCGTCTTGTTGCTTCTAGAGTTTTCTTTTGGACGGATTCCCTAACGGTTTTAAAGTGGTTGCGTAGCGATGCCCGCACGTTTAAGCCGTTTGTTGCTCACCGTGTAGGAGAAATATTAGAGACTACAAACGTTGCCAATTGGCGTTATGTTCCATCGGCCTTAAATGTAGCAGATGATGCTACACGCGGTCTATACTCTCTTTCCTCTTCCTCTCGATGGTATACTGGCCCAGATTTTCTTTTGTCTCCACCAGAAGAATGGCCTCGCGAGCCTGCGGTCATTGCTCCACTAGTAATTGAGGAACTAAAACCCGAACACGCGTTAACATTTTTGCTAACCGAACATCCGGAAATGCCATCTCCGGTCGTAGCGAATCACGATCATTTCGGTCGTTGGGTTCGGTTGGTTAGAGCAACCGCTCGTGCACATCATTGTGCTAAAATATTTCGGTCGTTTTTGAAAAAACCTCCAAATTCAAAATCAAAGAGTGCTGCCTCCAAGGTCTCTTTCAAAGTTTTGAAACCTCTTTCGGCCGCAGAAATCTTGGAGGCCGAGAGGCACCTATTTTTATATACTCAATTGGAATCATTTAAACACGAATTCTTGAGTCTTATCGCGGGTCTTCCCCCAACTAATCAAGGGAGGCTTAGAGGTCTTGTGTTGATGTTGGGAGAAGACGGTTTAATCCGTTTAAATGGAAGAATTCGTGCTGTATTAGATGCTCCCGCGCAGGACATTAACCCTATTGTTTTAGACGGTCGACATCCAATTGTAAAACTCCTTCTCGATCACTATCATCGGAAATTTGGTCATGGTAATATCGAGACCGTCGTTAACTTCCTGCGCGGCAAATTTTATATAATAGCATTACGCCCAAGTGTCAGGTCTGTTGCCAAACAATGCAGTTTCTGTAGGATTAGGAAGCTTCTCCCATCTACGCCTCAATTTGGTGATCTTCCTGAAGATAGGTTATCCCATCATCAGCGCGCGTTTTCCTTCTGCGGTCTTGATTACTTCGGTCCAGTTGAAGTTGCCGTTGGGCGCAGACGAGAAAAACGCTGGGTAGCTCTATTCACATGCCTTACCATCAGAGCCGTTCATTTGGAGATCGTAGGAAGCCTTTCCGCAGATGCTGCTAGCATGGCCCTAAGAAGATTTATTGCTCGTAGAGGATGTCCAGCGAGAATCATCTCAGATAACGGCACGGCTTTTGTCGGCGCAGCCAACCAACTCACAGACGTTTTCGACTTCGCGGCCAACCATAAAATAGAGTGGGTCTTCATTTGTCCAGCGGCACCATCAATGGGAGGTGCGTGGGAACGCTTAGTGCGATCAATAAAGTCTGCGCTTTCCGTAACCCTGAAAGAACAAGCTCCAAGAGAGGAAGTATTGAGTACCCTACTTCTGGAAGCGGAAGCAGTAGTCAATTCTCGCCCGCTGACACACGTACCAGTAGAGCCGGAGACACTACAGGCCCTCACACCCTTCCATTTTTTATTGGGCACACCATCAACCGAGTTGGTCCGTCCCCGCACCGATGCAGATCTTTGCCGTCGCTTAGACCACAGGAAGGTACTGCGGTTAGCGGAGCTGTTTTGGGCCAGATGGCTTCATGAATACCTACCCACGTTGATTCCACGAAAGGCCGGATCGACGCAAGCCAAATTCAAAGTGGGAGATCCAGTTCTGGTGGCGGATCCAAATCTTCCGCGAGGAACCTGGCCCAAAGGCCGTATTTCTAAGATATTCACCGGTCCTGACGGAGTGGTCAGGGTGGTGGAGATCCGGGGAAGCATGGGGATCTTGAAAAGACCAGTGCGCAAAGTGTTGCCCTTACTCCTAGAGCAGGGCACCCAAGAAAACTGCGCACAGTCGCCACTATAGATTGGTGCTCTGCACCGGGGCGTGCCATGTTGGCGACAGACCTCTTTTTATAGATATTTCTATTTTTAAACCATATATTTTTATATACAATTTTTGACATATATTTTTTATTATATTGTTTTGCTACATTGTGTCATATACGCTACCACTAAATACATCTATAATTTTGGTAAGTAATTTTATTTATATTACCCTATTTCACTGCCGTTGCCAGCCGCAATACTTAGAATAGTAGGTATAGATTATTATTACTAGACATCAAATTTGCAAGCAATACATTAGATTAGGTGATAGATATAACTCTATATTATGTAAGATTTATATCAATTCATTAATGAAGTGTTGAACTGTATAGGTATACAATTTCTGAAGTATTGTGTAATTTACATTTTTTGAACTTACAGTTTCATTTTTGTAATAAAATAAATTTGATTCAGCTTCAAGTCACTAATTTGAAAGTTATAAGTTGTAGCACAGTAACACATCATTAAAAGTGTTATGATTTTTTGACTCCATAACGCTATAGTATAGTTTGCAATACTATTTGAAAAATCAAAACTGGATCAAATTAGAAAATATATCAATTAAAATGTATAAATAAAAGTTGCAAGCGAATAGATTTTTACAATTATTGAATGTAAAATAGAGATCCTCAGTGAATGTTCACATTTTGAAGTCGAATGGATGAAATTGGATGGAAAATGGATATCGAATTCAATATTTCAATATATCAATATTGAATTCGATATCCATCTACATTTTTAAAAGTATGTATACGTAATGTCGCGATGTCTGATGATGACAGTGCAGATGTCCTATATACCGTGTTATCGATAATTCGAAAATACCTACCGACCACAATCGATTGATTTATCACTTCAGTCTTAAAAATAAGTTTCTATATAAAATCTAATTTTATGTATTTTTATTCTTATTCTGGCGTAAGAAAATAGTTAAGTTAAAAATAGTTATCTATGTAACTAATAGGTTATTTGTTCTTAGAGTATCTGATAAATTCTAAATAGATTATATAAAATAAATCAGAAATGTATATATATATATATAACAGCAACAAAGCAGTTTTTAAAAGGAAAGTAAACAAATGTGGATTTTACTAGTATATATAGGTACACACACTTTCTAAGTAGGCTTCGGGATTTAAACGTTGGGTGCAAATAATCTGTTACTTGTTTTGATTTTTAGTTTTAAAGAATTTTGGATGTCGAGTGCATTCATATCTAAGCAAGAATTTGTTCCCACAAATGCTTGCTCGGTGACTGATAGTCAACTTACACGCCTGATATATAGAATATAACAGATACGCAGATGAATATTTTAAAGTCGCACATAACACATTTATATGTATTCGTATTGCGGATTAATAATATAATTCCATTAAAAAATCCGGCAGCAGTTACTAAGATATATGAGAAAATCTATTATTGGACTAGACTTTATTAATGTAAGAGATACCAAAACAATAATGGTTAGATATTTTGTCGGTTTATCCGTGTATTTGTGAGCATTAATCTCAGAAAAGGTATACCGATTTGGGTGCTATATTGCGTTTGGTTTATTCCAATCGCTTTATAAATAAGACAATTATGCGGGTACTAAATGACGGGCTCAGGTAGTAATTATAAAGTTAAAATTAGTCGTAGTTAGTTACGAATAAAAAAAATGATGTACATACTCTAATAGTCTGACAGTCTAATTTTGGAATTTGGTTGAATAATATGTATGGTGGGTAGATAGGTATACTTAATAGTTTTATGAGAATTTTAATAACGAGAGTCAAGTGATTGAATTTAAAGAAATATAGCAGAATTCGGAAATATGTGTAATAATTCATAGAAAAAAGTACGAAAATAGCTAATCTAGGGAACATTTGCTTAGGTACAGTAAAGACACTCATTGAAAACGGTTAATATCAATCAAAACAACAAGTAATACCATCCATGTATTATTTAATGTCGTCATACATTCTAACCGTCCTTTTTAATCAAATCACCATAATATTAAAACTTAATAATTTACACATATTATTGCATGAAACTAGAAATAAGGCACAAATAAAGAGACACATTTATCAGTATTCATTATGTCCGTATAGATGTAATTGTTTCTCATTATAAATAGAAATTATTACAGTATTTAAGTATATATCCAAGAATGTATAATATGCTATTGAAATTATGGAATTTATTAAGAAGAATAGAAAATTAATTATACATCCATCAGTTCCGATGTGGTGATTTATTAAATATAAGTACTTACATCAGTCTAATATTTATTATTATTATTTATAAATTTAATTTCACCTCCAATATCACATGTTTTATATTATATATGCATATTTTAAAATATAGAATAATAAATTATATAATACAGTACATAAAGAATATAATAATTATCATGACATAAACAATCGTCAAAAACGGTATCTACATAAGTTGTTTAAATAGCACAAATTTAAAAAGTCAAATATTATGTATTAGCAACAAATTAATTACAATGGTTAAAAGAATATTAAATATAATATCTATTTATATAGTGACTGAAGTTGGGGCTTCGACTTTAGACATTGATCAGAATTGAAAGTTATGAATTACAGTTGATTGATAGTTGATAGAATATTGTTAGTGGATATTAGATATGCAATAAGTAGTATCGTTACAAAGCGATTTGTCACTGACAACATTTTATGCTACGCCTATGAAATAGCTGGTAGCAAAATATATTTATTGCTTTATCATTGTTTTGCAGTAGGAGCTTTTCATACAATATTTTGTTCATGATGTGACACGTAAGTCATAAAAATAAGAAGTAACTAATGTCACCGAATGGCGTATGCTAAATGCAAATTTCTGTAGGTGTAAAAAATAAATAGTCTATTAACTTAATTTTAGTCTTTAAATCCATGAAAGTAAAATTAAATTGAACAAATCAGTCACGGTAAAAGTACATTATTTGTAAGAATGTTATTAATTTGTTGCTTACTATGAAACCTGACATGTTATTTTTAGGCATATTATTAATTTTGTTGTATCATTCTACCTTACAATATAATATCAAAGCAAGCCTACTTTATAATATATGAAATTACTATAATAATACAGTGTGTCTTATTTTTTATTTTAAAACGATGTTGTGGTATAAACAATTTTCTAATTTTGTTGTAATTCGTAACACTGTCTATAGCATCTATAAATTACTTTCAATTTAATAGTGTCATTTGATTATATCACTACTTACAACGTAATTAAAACTGAGATTTGAATAGTTCTACACGTTGTCTTTTGTATCTACTATCACAGATGTAACAGTGAGATTTAAGTATGTGTATAACTAACGTGCTCGGTGAGGCTAAGTTTCATATTAATGGAATACACATCATCTCTTGTTTAATCTGTACCACAGGGCTGTACATGTCAGCAGATGCATAAGTACTGTAACAGAAAGCACCAAAGCCATATTTCCACCGACGTCCACTTCCGCCATGTCCATTTCTTGGAGGAATTTACTTGGTGTTTGGTAGTGACAATATTCTGAAAGATAAATGAAATAAAGTAAATAAATATTCTCACAGCTGTAACGCGGTCAATTGTCGGCTCCTGGTAGAGAACTAGGATAAAATTATTTTAGGCGTAATCCCCGTCTGAGGCACACTGTCTAATAATAATAGTGCTATATACAGTATCAGAACGTTTGGAAACAAAGAATGAACTGTTATTTTTTGGAACTATTCTAATAATATTTGCAGAATCACCGATAAAAGAGGGATGCACACGGTACTTCAATGCTCCGGAATAGGTCGTGGCTGTAGACCAACTTTTGCCTAATGACTTTCTGCCGAAAATCGAATCCCTAGCGATACTCTCACACTGAGTACCGCTAGGGATTCGATTTTCGGCTCGGGCCAACGTAATTTCGATAGCCGTAGAATAGGACAGAATGGATAGGAGTAATACGAATGAACAAAACAAGAAAAACTCTATACCAAGACAGTGTGCAATAATATGTGGTAATATCCTGTTCTTGTAGTCTGCAGATCGCATTGGGACATTAATTCTTATGAAAATGTACAATTACTTTGTGTACTATTTTATTCAAAATATTTAAATCAATAAATTACATACTCGTAAATAATTTCGCATGCTTTCACGTTTAATGTCAGTATTATTATGATTTTAAAATTATCTTACCTTTACTACAATGTATTTTAGTCCTATTAAAGCCATATACGGAATGAACGGCCACGTGGAAGCCAGCTCTGAAGTAGGAGATGTGGTGAAGCCATCGAAACGGATAAGGTGTGTCAGACAGAGCGAGACAGAAGCCGAATACAGAAAACAGGCAAGCCAACACTGGACCGATGAAGACTGCAATCTGTAACATATAATCATTGACTTTATGTACTATCTGTCCTGTATGATTCTGACAATCACTGTAGAAAGTCGTCTTTCGTTGTGTTTCATTACACCTATTTCAGCTGCCAAGCAGCTTACTTTATATATAATAATATAATTTGATTAATAGGGCGTATCTTAGTCGACTTACACTAGAAAATCAAAATTTTATTTCATTTTCCATCGAAAGAGGGCTCCTTACAGCTATCTATCTAGACATTAGAAGATTATCTACACTTTTAGAGAAGAATAAAGATATAGAAAATGCGAATTGGGGTGATGTGTAGAATAATTTCTGGAATCAATTGGAGTATTAAAACGATAAAATGATTATAAATTAATTACTTTTGTTGGTGTAGTAGCTCCAATAAAGTATCCCCAGGCCTGGCCACATAGGGAAGTGGCAACGATAGTGGCAAGAAACAGGGTTGCACGTGTCGGTTCCAACGGGTTGTCAGTCAACCAATACGATAACACCACGTACGACACACACGAAATCATCTAGAACAATTTGAAAAGTAAATCTTCTGGTATCTGTGAAGTTAAGCCAGTTTAATTTTATATATCACTACACAACGGAATTATTCTATGCCAATTGCCAAGTGATATCTGAAATTATGTTTAAATTATTTAGAGTATTAAAAGAATAGATAATATAAAAGACTATCCACATTATATATAGTGAAAAACTATCCAATTTTCCTGCTAAAAATATGATAGCAATCCGGTAGTATCTAAACATATTTCTATTGAACGAATTGCTATTTTAAATATATAATTTTGTAATACCCACATTTGACTCATTCAATATTTTGAATGAAACAAAAGCTGACTGTAAGAGTAATTTAATTTGTTATCGGTGTTGCCATCACCGGAGCCAGTCAGACATATGAATTGACACATCTGGGTTCGGCAAAATATGAATTGACGTCTTTTCGTCCTAATCCGGGTTGGTAAACCTTTAATTAACAACGTTCTGTAATATACATACATAAATATATTCTATAATAAAAATATTGTTGTAATAATAAAAAAACATACAATTATGTAATTGTAAATTTACCTGAAATGGTAGTTCCACTGCTAAAATAGAAACTATGTAGGGTCCCAACTTGTACCATTTGTTAAAATATTCACCTTTTAGTATATTCATTTCTAATGGAACTGAAAATAATACAAATATATTTTATTAAATTAAAATTAATTTAGCAGCGTATACCTACGGATTCATAAATATATTTCATTGAGGTGTCATTTTGCAAAAATGAATTTTATAGAGATAGAAATAGAAATAGAGTTTATAGAGTGTACAGAAACATGTTTTATTAATAAATGTAAAAAAATACCTTTATTTGAATAATATTTAGATACATTTTAGTATTGGACAAACTAGCCTACGTATCGTTAAAAACCAACGTACAAAATAATCACGGTATTCGACGCTTACTAATTTAGGAAGCAATAGACAAAGTCAAAGTGGTTCTATGACAAACCTAGTACTTTCAGAACAATTTGAATATATATATACATTATTAACAACTAATTCTGTATCCGGTATTAATTTTATAATCAGTTTACAAATTTGAATACAAAAACTTATATAAACTACACGTTTTTTATTTGCGTGGCATGACATTGTGTATTTAATATACAGGAAATTTGATTTTGGGAAACAATATACGTAAACGAGTACGTAAGCATACTTACAAGACAATGTGACTGACATCTTGCCAGTGTAGACAACAAGCAGCATAGATCCGTATAGGTAGACATAATTTCCAAGCACGCTGCTTGCCTCGCTGCCCACCCCGTGATAGAGGTAACCGAAGAGTAACGCGATGAGTACGTGTGCTGCCACTCTCACTAGTAACAGGGACTGGAACAAATAGTCATCCATAGGTTAGGCCAATAATATTGTATGGTAACAAGTTATTGATCGAATGATAAGAGATTATATCAATCGATGAAATTGTCAAGACCCTTTCTAGATAATTATTATGTAAACAGGGAAATGTATCAAAAATTATACAACACCTTGTGTGTTCCGCAGGCAAAGTGGTAACTTTCATCTATACTGAGTTATAACGTTTCGAGAAATTATATGTAGATTTTCTCTATATAGAAAACTTATTAGTAAAACTATATGGAACTGACAAGAATAAGGACTCTAGATTGCAAAATAAATAACGATAATAATCCATTTTGTTTTAGAGAATGAGTATATATATATGAGAGATGAATATATATATATATATATATATATAATAATGTATATATCTGTAATATTATACAGCAAAGTCGCTGTTTCATCTGTCTGTTTTACCGTTTACTTTAGCTAAACCATGCATTAGATTTTGGTACTATCATTATTCATATTTTGGTAGGATCACTGTTATTTAGATAAATTCTTCAGAGCGAAGTATGGGTGGCTTGCTATACATACATATATACATATACATATAATAAAATTAGAGAATTGAGAAAGTGAGAGTTTCTTCTTTTGGCAGGCACTTGAAAGTTAATGAAAAAGAACCACAACATAATCAACTAAGTAGTTTTTGCTTGAAATTTTTGTAAACATGATGACAAATTGTAGTCTTTTATAATTATAATATTTTCTGAAGTAGCATCCATATAGAGTTTTTCTTAAAGTCTTAAAGCAATGGCTCTAAAGAAAAATAGTAGTAGTTATAAATTTGAAGTCTCATAAATGACTTTGGAAACTGTGGTATTAGGTCCTGTTTCTAGGCTCGACGAATAAGTTTCTATAAACAAAATCTAGATTTACACTCACGTAATTTCTTGAAGTCATCAAATAGTTCCGGTAAAGTAGAATCCATGTTTGTTGTAATAAACCAGATTGTCTATATAATGTTTTACCATATTTTGTTTGGTGTTTAGAGTCTCCTAAAACATTCTTCATCTTAAGGTCTGAGGTGACATCTGAAAAATAATTATTAATTACTCTTACATAAATATATATGAAGTCAAATATATATTATATAACACGTCTCCATGTTCAAAATTATATTCTTTCATAACTTTACTTTATTATTTATCGTATATCAAATAATTATAAATATTGATGAAATGAACATCATATCTTTTAATGAAACTATAGTTTCAAGCTATCAGTATAATAATGTAAGTCTGAAGCAACAACTGTGTTGTATGTAAAAATAGAGCTACACGTGATAGAAATATAAAGTTAATAATTACGTAGCCGATACTCCATATCCACTCTTCTATTGTTGGAATATGATTTAATAGACCGTAAAATAGTTTATATGTAGTAAGTACTTCATTACGACATTGATAGCTATTATAGTTGTTTATAGTTCGATTATGCTATACTTTTGTTTAAATACTTATAAAGTAGTAGTATAATATTAAAATGAGAATCATAAAATTGTCACGTAAAGCAACAATATTGTACACATTTTTACGAACACTATGAGTACAAAACTTTGCATATAATGAAAAGCGAGTGTATAAAGTTATTTTTTTTATAATATTTTTTATAAATAAACTATATTGAGCAAAATAATGCACACACACTTATAGCAAAGCAATTGCAATTCTACGCATGAGATAGAATGAGACAGCAACCCCCCAACGGCGACGTCTTGATCTATCTAATGCGCGTGTTATCAATTTATTATCAGTACATTTGTTTACATTTTAGATACAGTAATTTAGAGATGACACTGTTGGAAAGTCTTAATTATGTGAGAGAGATATTATATTGAAATATGACTGATATAATTTAATTGATATTGCAGCTAGTCAACGTTTTTTTCTAGCAAAGAATGAATGAAATATCTCGGACTTCCGTGATTCTATTGATAATGAATAGATTAGTCATGAGATCACAGGTCTACACACCTACATGTCATTATTATTCTACATAAGTTATGTATATGAGTATAACGTACACATTGCGAAAATGTGGTGCTGCTCTATAGATAAAAACGTAATAAAACAAATTTCATAGGAAGTAATAATTTTATAGAAATCACCTAAGTTTTCAATAGATTCATAAAAATCACTTACTTAAAGGTAAAGCACGTATAGTGGGCACATGGAGATCCCAGCTGCCGTTTGCTGGAGGGTCAGCCTTAAATTGTTGCATGGTATTGGCAGCTTTTATTAGATCTATTTTGTACTCTCCCGAAGCCACTTCCATTACTGCGAAAAGAAAGAACTCTTTATAGACATTCTGTTTTGTTAATTTAATATAAAAATTTAACTAGACTTACTGAATTTAAAAAATAATTCAGTATAATTTATGTATACGAGATAATAATACAACAAAGTATAAATCATAGAAATAGTAAAAAGGCGCATTACATAATATAAAAGCTAAATGTTCGGTTTGCATACAAATAGTACATGTGTATGTATTAGAAATGAATGTGTAATTTTCGCAAGTATAGGCACCGTCTGAAGAGAGGGAGCGGCATGCCATTTCTATACGAGGAATTTCTGTTACGTCAAACAAGGAAAATTTCCTGTAAGACTGGTAAAGTATACGCAGAAGGCGCTTAGCCGGTTCGATAGTTTTATTTGAGATCTGAGATACCGACCTCCTTTCTATTTCTATGATTTCTAATTATCACTCTCACAGTTCACTGCATAAAAGTGTTACCTCTTCGAAAGAAATTATACATTTCCAGAGATATATGCTTATAAAGAAGTACAATCTCCGGAACCACAGTATCTATTTAAAAAATATTGTTTCAGAATGTATACATACAATTGTATGTAATTAATAGCCTTTGTATACAATAACGGTGACCTAGAGATTGTTATCATCAGATATTTATAATCTTCATAGTTCACTGTTACAGAACATAAACATTTCTTATTAACTGACATAACTAAGGAATTGCTAATTCTATATTCTTTGCGCCGTCTATTAATATCTTGTAAGAAATTTGGCAATGTTTTAAACTAAGTTCTTATCTTACTCTGGCAGGCGCTACTTTAGTAAAATCTTTAGTATAACCACAGATAAGAGGATAATACCTAGTCCTAATATTAATTTAATAAAGTAAATTATATAGTACAATATACAATATGAATGAAACTTACGAAAATCGGCTGGATTATGGTAAGGCGGGCATCTTAAATTGGCACTCTCTAACGCAGGTATAAGATTTTGTCTTGGTCCATTGTACAGGACTCTTCCTTCTGCCAAGCAGTAAACAGAATCTATTTTCTCAAATAGTAACGCCGAAGGTTGATGGATTGTAGCTATTAAAGTCCGCCCTCCTCTGGCCAGGTCATTGAGTAACGTGATCAGAGACATAGATGCCGATGAATCTAAACCGCTGCAAAGGAATAATTATTTGTCATGTTGTAAGTCGCTAAAACTGATATCAAACATTCATATTGCAATGGTGTGTAAGATTAGAGAAGTGCAGTTGAGAAATCGCTAGATAGAAGTTTTAGTATATATTTAATGATTAGTTTTAATGATATCTATTGACAAGGAAAAAAGAAATGATTACTAACGTTGTTGGTTCATCAAGGAAAAGTAGCGAAGGGTCCGAAAGTAGCTCTAGTGCGACAGCAATTCGACGTTTTTGGCCTCCTGAGAGGTCACGACAAAGTGTTAGTGACGTTCTTTCCAAACCCAAGATTGCCAGGATTTCAGAAATCTGTGAAATATGGGAATAAATGAATATGTGATATTTATGTAATAAGTATATAAAGTCAATTATCAGAAACAGACTGTAGAAACTCGTTTGTGTACCTCAGTCTCACCTATTTAGCTACCACCTTGCTATGTAAGCTGTGTTTTGGTTGTAGGGTGTTGATTAGGCTGCGAAATTACAGCATAAGAGATTCTATGAAATAGAAACGCATAAGTGGTATCGCGAGTATCACATGATAACGTGATGTCCGTAGTGCTGTTCATGTATATAGGCAACGGTTACTGCTTAATCGGTGACCGTCGCCTTGTTTACTAAATAACTAATTGCATCAAAAAAATATTGCCATTGTGGAAGGTTTTGGGAGTTCAATATCAAGCAGTGAGCAATAGATGCAGACTGATGATGAATGCTATTTGATATGACACCAATATCTGAGTTAACATTGACGTAATTATTCATACATTCAATGATCTTGAAATAACGATGCGTGCATATTGTTTTATCGAAGTATCCCTAACAAAGCAAATTATATTAATTTGCCTGACTGTCTGCCATTAGTTTATGTAAATTATAATGGTATCTAATTAAAATGTCACTTGGGTCTTGAAGTTAAATAATGGCATGGTTATATAACATTATTTTATAATTACACGCAAGAAAAATATCCGTTATTTCATCTTTATAAAATAACCTTGAACTTTTAAAACTATAAAACATAATAAGTGTAACTTTAAAGACTATTTTTTCAGGTCACTCATAGGACGGGTTGAGCTAGAGTTTTAATTAATTTATCGTGGCCTACGTAATACTAGATACTTTGGCTAAAGTATTTAATTAAAAACCTACGTATGGATTTAGAAAATAACGGTTTAGAATCGGTTTGAAACTAGTACAAAATGTTTCATACATTCGTAAACTCCAATTGTAGGCGCTAATTAATCGGTTACTACTGAACAAGCATTTGTGAATTATTCATTGTAATTAGCAGCCATTATTATTTTGTTGGTTATGATTCATAAAAGAATACAGATACAGGTCAATAACATTACGAACGTTAACTCCGTGTATTAGAAAAAATAAAATATTAGATACATTATTAGAAAAATATTTTGTTCTAAAATAGGTACACTTACAAATCCGATTGAAATGCTGATGGAGCAGTAGGGGAATAAATTCTAACAAAATGTTGGAGATATCGTCGATAAGACAGTCGAAATCAGAACTATTACTTTATGGTTAATCGTTTTTTTAAAACAAACATATGTATCTTTTTACTCTATTTGATTATTCATCGCGTCATGTAGCTGTAAACAATATGTGTATAAGTGCTATAGTAAACATTTACTTACTTTCTCTTTTCGTTCGTGCGACGTGAAATCAGCCAGTTTTAGTGCAGCTGCAAGAGACATGGCTTCGTTGACAGTCAGGTGTGCTCGGAGGTCATCTTCCTGGCGGATGTATCGGGCCCCGCCGCGGCCTGTCGATTGCGATGCACACGCGCATACGCCGTTAACGGATATTTCTCCTTTGGCGCCTAGTGTTCTATAGGGAAATTATAATATAATGATTTTATTTCTTCAACCTTTTAATTTCACTCTTTAACCTTTTAGGTAAGTGATACTTTTTTGAACGAATTTAGTAGGTCAAAAACTCAAATACTAACTATCCTTATACCGAAAGCTAAAAATGTCGTATTTGTATGACGATCTTTGTATGGCTGGCTTTCCTGTTTATTTTATTGTACATACAATATTTGTAATTATCAAGTCTGCAAAGTATATGCATAAAGGTGAGGTATGGGAGTGGTTTAGTCATTTTCATAGTTTTCATTGTTATGTGTAAGGATATAAATCTACAACGAGTACTGTTGGTGACCCACCTTCTAAGGAACATAGCATTAAGATAGCGAAATATAAATATGAACAAGAGTTGTCTTTACTGTTATTAATGAAATTATATTACTGCTTCAATTTTTTTTTTCTCTGAAATGAGTAGTATCTTCTACCATAAATATGTACTATATATGTATTCTACCATAAACCGTATGTCTCTCAGGACAACTAAAGGTTTGATATTTTATACATAAATATATTCTACTGATAAAATATTTATTTTATATGTAGGTATAATAGGCAAATATCTAATATATCATAGAATAACAGATGGTTAATTGTTAAGCCTAAAATTAAGAAATTTTTAAATTAATTACCTCAATAAAATATTTTAGAAAGTTTACTTCTTTATGGTAGTACATATATTACAATTTATGTTTCCTGAATATGTATTTTTTCTATAAAAGTAGGTATTTATTAATATTTGCCGTAATGACGTAATTGTCAATTCTAAATATGATTTAACCAGTTTCAGTAATGAGGTAATGCGAAATACATGAAACAAACAATGAAACAATTGCTTTGTTATGTAAAACTACTTTAAACACGAGTTTAAAACAACTATGGCACCATTCAGATTGTGAAAATCCGCTATAAGAAATCCACTATAATATAATACTATATATAATAAAATACGTTATAAGACACACACGCCACATGGGCTCAATGTGTTACATCTATTCTAATTTAATAAACTTAATTGTTAGTTTTTTGTAATTATTGTCAATAACATAATATACTCGTATTTATAATGAATTCGCAAGTACTAGATTGAACTGAAATTTGTCGTAACTTTAACTTAGACGTCATTAATTGTCTTCTGATATAAGATTGTGAGACATAGAGAAATAGTGACAGGGAAAGAGTGGCACTATTGTATTTATAGTTTTAGTATGCATACTTGCATACTAAACCTAACCTTTTTAAGTTATATATTTTACCACTGCTATCAATGTGACAGAGTATCTATATGTATGTATATAGCAATTTATAATTCGGTTTTTTTATAGTTTTACATTCATTAATTTTAAATAATTCAGCAATCCTACATTCGGCATACGTGTAACTAGCACGTAGATCGAATGGTAACTGAGAATTATTGATACGTAAAAATAATCTTAGCAAAATTATGGACCCACCAAGTTAACGTAATGGAATAAATATTGATTGTTTATTTATATATTTATATATATTACTAAGCTGAGGAGAGCTTGTATTCAATAATACAAGCTCTACTCAGCTCTCTAGCTCAGCTCAGTACCAATGTACTAGACAACTGATATAAGGTAAATACACAACTTTTTTTTGTTTGTAAATATATACATAAAATCACCCAGATACAAATAGTCTAAATGAATAAAATTATGAATAAAACTCATGAATAAAAATTTTTGTACCAAGAATAATTGAACCTACAGCCATCGGAAGTAAATCGATGTGCGAAACCGCTAGACTACCGAGGCCGTTAAATTAATTTATATTTCTTGTGTACCATATAGATAATTGAAAGAAAAGCCAAGCGTAAGACTTAGAGAATAATGGTATAAGAGGAAAAATTTTAAATAAGTTATAAACTAAGCCGTATGACGTGTGTTAATAAGTGGCTAGATTCTTTTTAGACTCTTAAATGGCACCAGGTAGACTGTAAAATCTCATCATCTGCATGGGTCTCTCAGTCTCAGTTGGTTTAGTCTAGTTTTGGTAGTAGGGTGTGATTAGGCAGTGACATTATAGCATAAGAGATATGACAGTACTCTGGTATGGCAATGCACCAGTGGTAACACGGTAACACATCATAACGTGATGGTGATAGTGCTAATGTATGTATAGAGGCCATGGTTACTGCTTACTATCAGGTAGGTCGTTTTGTTTGCCATTCAGACCACATAAAAACGAGATGTATTCCTAGTAAAGAGAAGATATTGGGTTGTTATGATTGTTGTTTACTTACGAATAGCCTGCTAAAATATTGAGTAAAGTAGTTTTTCCAGCACCAGAAGGTCCCATAATAGCTGTCAGTTCTCCAGGTTTGAAGCATCCGTTTACCCCCTTGATAATGGTTTTATTTTCTGTAACAAAAATAAGATTTGTTAGTATGATTATCATAGCAGTTGGACTGTTTCTTTTTTATAATACTAGTTTCAATCCCGACTTCGAACACGTGATTGGGATATATTAACTGAACATAACATAAAGTTTATGTTCTTCTCCATCAAAATATTATTTATAAACTTTGGCGATTGGTTAAGCCATAAAAATATGGAGATATAACTCACAAACAGACTCAAACGCTGCCAATGAACCAGATACTTTTAGGGAACAACAGACACGACAAGTTTATTTTTTATGGTTATTACATTTTGAGCTATTTATGCATGTTAATTTAAAAATGTAGGCAACTTTTGATTATTTGTACAATTTTATCTTTACACCTAAATACCTAATATTTACATGTACCTAATATGTACTTAACCATAGATAACAGAATAAAAAAAACAACATATGCAATTTAAATTTTCGTGGATTTTGTTTATATGCTACGAATATTTGTTTATTCATTATTTGTGTTTGTTACATCCGACAAAGCATTTATGGTTTCATCAATCAAATTTATGTACAATTGTCATTAATTTTTTTTTACTTTACTTCGTTTATTTGTTACTCTAGTCTGTATTATAAATGTAATAAATTTGGTTCGCAAGTATGTGGATATTTATTAGGTAGAAGAGAAATGTTCTTATAAATTTTGCATCTCTTGATATGTGAAAATGATAAGAATAATTTTTGTTTTATATATTTTTACACTATATATACACATAATTCTATTCCTTATAGTAGTGTCACAGAACCGCCGTATATTTTAATAATATTAGCACGGGATGTATTCATTCTTAAAATATGAAAATGAATTCCTTATCAAAGTGACGTCAGAAATCAGGACGGTTCAAGCACGCAAGTGGAATATAAATATAATTTAATTGAAATTCTACACTGTTCTTTAATTTATGTTACTAATCAATTGGTAGAATATTTATGTCTGTTTGTAAATCTGTATGTGCACAAATCAAGAGGAAAATGCGGTTTGAATTATATTGGCAAATAGGCTGTATTTAAGTAACTTTTCGAACTAGAGCCTTGCGTGTCGATAACGTTTTCTAAAAACATTGTAATAGATTTTTCATTCTTTCTTCTTACATTAATAATGAAAGATATTCCTTATTATATCTTCTTCACGAAATCTCTGCAGATTTTGAATATTATAATTGTGGAATCGATTTCGTTTAGGTATCTGCTACCAATACAAAATATTACGGTATTATTATTCCTATTTTGCCGCCATATTTTCCAATATCGCCACGATTATATCGGCGTTTTTGTTGTAACCAAATCCGAAGCTTATACTACGTATCTTATAAACAGAGATACAGATCAGTAAATAGCGGGCTATACTGTATCATTCATTCATTTAATTACTACATCCATACAGTAGTATCACGCGATAATTTTTTTAATGACCATTCAGTGCAATGAATCTGTTGTGTATGATTAATAACAGACCGTGTGGAAGTTTGCGTCAGAATTGCAAGTTATGACAACAATATCCCTTTTAATAAGTATGCACATCATGCATCAGGCGCCCAGCGGTTTATACTTGCAGATGTTTGCGGAAGTATCGGATCTTCCTAATTTATGGTCTGCCAACTATCAATCTGTCTCATATGTAACCCAGTAATTGTACCGTGAATACTAATTTTAATAACGATGACGAATGAATAATCCAACGAATATTATGGCGGCTCATCGCTTTGTATATAAAGACTCATCTTAAATTTTCAGATGGAGCATAAGTAAAGTTATAGGATATGGAGGCATGTCCTCTGGAATGGCAACGCAAGAGTGGTATCACGAGCATCACATTATAACGTATGTATAGGCGCCATTCCGTCATTTGTTTTTGTTAGCTATATCAATGAAAAAAAAAGCTATTTAGGAAAAAACTTTATTTCACGAGTAGTAGTTAAAAACAGATTAAAACAATGTTCTCATATTTTAATGTTTGTTGTTATAAGTTAGAAAAGAATTATTTGTATTTTTCTATTAAATGTGAGTAGAATGATTTTCAAATTGATGTAGATGTCTATTTCAATTACGAAACGACAATATAATAGTATTTTTAATATAAACACTATCTTTTTTCTATTTATAAAGTTACTAATATGCTATTGAAATATGAAGAAACATTGGATGTATTCGTCATATTATATGGATATCAAGTAAAGAACATAGATGTCATGTAGTTCCGTTTGTTAATTTGAAGTTGTACAAAAAAGAGTAGCTTGTTTTGACGACATGAACATTAATAATAAGTAAAATTTTATTCATATAATAATATTACGTCGAAGGCACGTTTAAACTGTAATAGCAATACATGTATAGAAAAATATTATCATTTTCAATTAAGTCGCGTGTGTATGACAAATAAATACATTGTATATCGAACATTGTCACAATGCCAGATGTCAGATGATTGATATATGTATTTCATTATGATGCACACCAGATGCAAGCTCAAGTAGAGGTTGAAAATGTATGTGATTAGTATATTTGACGAAATAATTGTATGTTAGAAAAGGTAAAGAACCAGTCTAAACAAAATTAGGTACATATTGCTTTAATAATATATACTTTTTGATCCTAAGAATTTATTTACGACTCTCAAAAAATATTCAAATTTGTAGTCAGTTAACATTCGGTAGTACAAACGGATTTTTGTTTTGTGCCTAATTTTTATATGCATCTACTTATACCTATGACTATGATAAAATATTAACGGAATATTATAAAATACAAAATACATACATATGAATATTGTTATTAATATCTGTACTTAGGTTTCAATAAAATATTGAATTATTACAAAATACGTAGTTGAATATTGTGAAACAAACTGTTTATTTTAACATTAAATTCATGGAAGCAAGACTGTCGAGAGGCGCCGCGCCGCGCCGGCATATTTATGCTAGACACCGTACTCTCAGTAATTTGCTGCAGAAATGATCGGATGCTCTGTTACAACATTTAGCAGTCACGCAAACTAAACTATTCACGAAGTATTATTGACATACTAGTTGACAGTCTACCTGTTAGAAAATGGTAACTGTCACTACAACAACACAGACTTCGGAGAATATGCAGTACAGCCTATAACATATTTTATTTCCACGTAAGGCTTAGAATTTTGTTATATTTGATACATATGAAGCATTTAATGTATTTTAATTCACAGAATACATGAGTCATTTATTTTTCAAGTTGAAATACAATACAGGACAGTATTGCTACTCGTGTAATTCGTGTCACGCAATATAGCGTCTTTCCTTCTACAAACAACATTTCGTTGTCAAATTTCTTTCGGAAATTAAGTATGTTAAAATCAGAATCTTGTGCATTATTTGTTTATAATACACTCACCTGCTACCTACTTTGATCAACCTATCACCGGGTCTTAGAAACAGGTAATACGGTCAGTCTTTTAGGTAACCTAACGGTAATAATGATTTCAGTGACCTCCATTTTTTAGTTGTTATATTTTTTATACATAGTAGACACATTACATTTTAGTAATTTTGTGTCTCATTAAATGTATTCATTATAAAAATAATGGTAATAATATTTATTTCATATTATTTAAACATAACAAAACAGGAAAAATTATTCTGTTTGTTTAAATTGTTCTGTTTAATATTTAGCATAGTAATGTTCTCTAAATTTAGTGTTTTTAGAACACCATAATATTTTAGTTGTACGTCTACAGTATAAATAATCATCATATGATAATGGTAACTCATCAGCCATTGCATTTAACGCGGTCTGTCCATATACTTGTAGTGACCTGCAATTTCTAACTATGCGTGCAGTACTAATTATCTATGCAATTGAAATATGTACTATGTAAGTATGTCTAAAGTTTCACCACTACTAATGTTCTGAAGTTTCACCACTAACTAATTGTAATCCAGAAACCTCTTAAATTCAAATTTAAATTATCTCACCCGTAATACCTAACAAACAATGATTAAATATTTCTAATTCCAGATTTACGTAACTTAATTATCCGAATGATAAAGTGTAATATTTTATATTGATAACATAATTAAAAGGGTTTAAAATAAGAAAACAAATATTACGATGAATCATACTATAGAATAATAAGTACGCGATAAAGAATGAATAAATAGAACTATTAAACTTTTATTTTTCACATTTTTTACATATTATGTTTATCTTCCAGAATGAATTAAAATAAAAATGGCGAAATATTACGTCTTTGTAATAATACCTAAATAAAAAAGTGTGTTTGTTAATATACAACTGGCAAAGTTCGTTGTGAAAAATAAATTATTTGGTTGTTAAGTAAAGAGAAATAACTATGATTCAAATATTTATTTGCATCATTATGATTCATTATTATAATTGGAGTTAAACTTTGTTCAAAGTCATCTGGTATCACTCTACCTCATCTATTTCTGCCGCCGTCTATATTTTATACTTATTTATGTTTCAGTTAGGTTATAACACACACTACTGAGTACAGTAAGTGCAATTTTGTAGATACATACAGATAAGTTCAATTTAATACATTTTTGATTAATATAATTCCAGCATTTATAAGAAGAAAACAAATGTTATAATGAGTCATAGTCGATAAAGGCTCAATAAATATAGATAACATTGTTATTGTTTTCCCGCCATTTCTTACTAAAGCATGTATATACAACATAGACTGGAAGAGATTTCCTATGTTAAAATGATAATATCGTCATCATAATATATTGTTATATATTCACGTATTTCGTATTTATCTATCGAAATGTGAGTGAAAGGTATACCAGTGACATCTCTATACAATGTTGTAAAGATTTGGCTTGTCTAAAACTGGAGTATGTCCTACACTAGAACATGTATCTAATGCTGCACTAGCAAAGCTCTTACTAGATTTGGTTGGGTAGGGACTGAAACATGAGCGATGAAGGTCTGTGTTAAGGTACGTCGGTAAGGAGGCCCTACA